GGGGGGGGTGGAGGGGGGGCTTGATTTTGATAATCATGCGGCGACCACGGTTTAGGGTCTATGGTAGAGCTTCGGGGCTTTCTGGCTTCTTTTCGGTTTTCGCAAAACCGCCTTGCTTCCCACCCTAAACCCTACACGCTAAGCCCTAAACCCCTAAACCCTACCCCCTAAGCCCTAAACCCCGAAACCCTAAACCCTCAGCCCTAAACCCCTAAACCCCTAAACCCCTAAACCCTAAACCCTGCGTCCTCGACCCTAAACCCGAAACCCTTTTTGCTTCTGCAAGTTCTTCGCCCAAATGTTCTCCGGGCCGAGGATGGAGCGGAAATCACGCGCCGAGCAGTTCATGACCATAGCGAAGGCGGCATTGGAGGGTTTGGTGTTTTAGGGTTTTAGGGTTTAGGGCTTTAAGGGTCAAGGGCTTAGGGCTTAAGGTTTGGGCTTTTCTAAACTATTGTGTCGCTTCTCTAAGGGCGGAGCCTTGTGCGGACGGGGCGCTGCAATGCATCGAAGCCCTTAGCCCAGGAGCTCTCGACCTCAACATCACCGAGCCCTCCAGTCCTAAAGCCTCAAGCCTGCAAAACCCGAGAACCCAAGGGACACCCCCCCCAAAAAAAAAAACTCGAACCCCTAAAGCCTTAAGCCCCTAAGAACCCTAGACGCCAAGCTCTAAAGCCTCAAGAATAGAACCTCTGTGCTCCAGTGCAGGTCACAGAGAAGGAGGCCGAGGAATATCTGGAGTCGGGGTCTCGAACAAGGATCGCCGATGTCCCTGCAGCACTCTTTTGGCGGGTTTAGGCATTAGGCTTTATGGAAGGTCTAGGGTAGCAGTGGTAATAGTGGTAGTAGTGGTAGCAGTGGTAGTAGTGGTAGTGGTGGTAGCGGTCGTCATCCTGATCGTCGTCGCAGGGCCGCCGCCAGACATACGACTATCTTGCATGCTTGGGGCCATGGCAGTTCCGATGATTTGCCCGGTGATGGGCCTTTTGGGGCGCATGCTCACGTCTTTATTCTCTTGGGATCTTCGCAGCACATTAGCATTTACCATGTGCGCTGTCCTGTTGGGCCAGGGTCAGAGGCTCACGTCCTGTCAGATGCGGGCTTTGGATGTGTAAGTCCTGGTTTGTCGGTTAAGGGCTTAGGGTGTTGCATGCCGGCAAAGTCAAGCCTGTGTAGCTTGCTGCAGACATCTCCACTTGAGGGCGACTCAGTCCATGAATCACCACCCACAGCCAAGAACGAGACGACGTTTGTTTCGAAACAGCCATAAGACCAACATAAAAGCCCACGGATCCAACCTGTGGTAAAGGTCCGCTGCATGCCTGGAAATGCCCCTCAGATCCCGTGAAATGCCTGAGTCGGATTCTCCGTCGGGCGATGCAATTACTGTGGAAGTTGGACTGCTCAGTGGCAGGACAGCTTCGATACATGCAGGCGTGGATGAAGAGGTGGAAACGTTGAAGCTGCGGGCGCAGACTGCTCTCGGAGTGGGGAGCGGGCGGCTGCTAAACTCATCTGGACGCGCTCTCTTCGGATCTGCAGCTCTCAAGACGGTTGGCTTGCAAGAAGGTGATGTACTGACCTTGCACGTGCAAAGAGTTCAAGTGTGCGGCACTCGGCATGCCTTCGCTGCCGTGCTTGGCGATGGATCGGTAGCAACCTGGGGTGCTGCTGACTCTGGCGGTGACAGTACTCATGTGCTGGATCAGCTGCAGAACGTACAGCAGCTCCAAGCTTGTGAAGGCACTTTTGCTGCGCTGGTCGGTGATGGATCTGTGGTAACCTGGGGCCACCCCCGACTCGACCGCTTTGTTGGTGACAGTCAGCAGCTGACGAACGTGCAGCAGATCCAAGCCTCTTACTACGCTTTTGCTGCCGTTCGTAGCGATGGATCAGTCGTGACCTGGGGCGATGCTCGGTTTGGTGGTTACAGCAGTGCTGTACAGGATCAGCTGAAGAACGTGCAGAAGATCCAAGCAGCGTACCACGCTTTCGCTGCCATTCTCGGAGACGGGTCTGTCGTGACCTGGGGTGATGGTCGCGGCGGTGGTGACAGCAGTGCTGTACACGATCGACTGAAGACTGTGCGAGAAATAAAAGCATCTTATCACGCGTTCGCTGCCATTCTTAGCGATGCATCTGTCGTGACCTGGGGTCCTGCTATCTATGGCGGTGAGAGTGGCGGTGTGCAGAGTCAGCTGAAGAATGTACGTGAGATCCAATCCAATGAGGGTGCCTTTGCTGCCATTCGTGGAAATGGGTCTGTGGTGACCTGGGGAAACGCTCGCTTTGGTGGTGACAGTCGTGTCGTGCAGGATCAGCTGAAAAACGTGCAGAAGATCCAATCATCCCAGCGTGCTTTTGCTGCCATTCTGGGGGATGGATCTGTCGTGACCTGGGGAGATGCTCGCTTCGGTGGTGACAGCTCTACAGTGCAGCAGCAGCTGAAGAATGTGCAGCGGATCCAGGCGTCTCACCATGCTTTCGCTGCCATTCTTGACGACGGGTCTGTCGTGACCTGGGGCGATGCTCGCTTTGGTGGGAAGAGTGGAGATGCACAGGATCAGCTGAAGAGTGTGCAACAGATCCAAGCGTCTCACTCCGCGTTCGCTGCCATTCTGGGCGATGGGTCTGTCGTGACCTGGGGTCATGCTAACTATGGTGGTGACAGTAGTGCTGTGCAAAATCAGCTGAAGAGAGTGTGTGAGATCCAAGCTTGTGAAGGTGCTTTTGCAGCCATTCTTTTCGATGGATCTCTGGTGACCTGGGGCGATGCTCGCTTTGGTGGACAGCGGTGACCGACCAAGGAGGTCAGCGAGAGTTGTCCAATACACTCCGACCATGCGACAAAGGTCCGGACGGTCGGATCTGGATGGTTCTGGTCACCCACTGTCCTTCGAATTAGGATGAATTAGGGGCTGATAGATGTAGTAAATGTAGTTCAGGGTGGAGGGAATTCTTGCCCGAGTCCGTGCCCCTGCGCCTGAAAGCTACGAATGCAGAGCTGGACAAGTCTATCAAGCGTGGTCCAACATCACGTAGACCCAGGGAACCCCTGAAAGCCCTCGTAAACAACCCTTCGCTTTTAGACCATGAAGTTCCTGTTTTAAGGCGGTGTGCCTGGAACGTGGAGGAAGCCCTGGACAAGTTCCTGGCCGAGGGAGCCAAAAGTGCCACAGCCCGGATGTGGGTCTCAGTTCTTGGAGCCTTGCGTTTCTGGAGCCTTTGCAGAAGAGCTCTTTTCTTTAGCCATCCTTTTTACGAAACCGTCTTAAAATATAAGCCTTTTCAGTAACAGTATATATATATATACACATGTATATATGTATGTATATATATATATGTACATATATATGTACATATGTATATGTATATATATATATATATATATATAAAGGGTGGAGAACTCCCCGGTCTTCAGGTGCTCCTCCAGCCTCCAAGCGGGGAGCCCAGGGTGTCCGAAAGTTTCGCCCTTGAGGGTTTAAGGGTTTAGGTAGGGTTTAGGGTTTAGGGTTTAGGGTGTTAGGGTTTGGGTTTAGGGTTTAGGGTTTAGGGTTTAGGGTTTAGGGTTTAGGGTTTAGGGTTTAGGGTTAGGGTAGGGAGGGGGACGACAGGTAGCCTCGTGCGATTCGTGCATGGCTCCTGCTACCGAAGATGTGACCAGAAGAGGTCTTCAACCACACGTTGTAATATCCCATATTGTTGGAAAAAAGTTACTTTATTACGTCACAAACTTGGTGTGGCATTTTATAGTATTCTGTATGGGTGGTTGTCAAAATTATGGTCCCTTTTTGGGTCCTTATTATAATACGGCACCTATTACTTAGGGTACCCCAAAAGGGACCATTATTTTGACAACTACCCATATAATACACGGAGCTTTAACCTACTGTTCTGGCGGTTCAGGCCCAGCAGCAAGCCGGCAGCAAAGCCTCGCGTGCAGACCTGAGCGCGGAAGACACGGGTTTCTTGATTTGTTGTTAGAACCGTCAGGGTTTGGGATTAGGGTTTAGGGTTTTGGATTTCTGGTCTAGAGTTTAGGGTTTGGGATTTCTGGTTTAGGGTTTGGGATGTATGGTTTGGGGACTTTGGGGTTTAAGGTATTCGGAACATGCCATAGTCCATATCAACAGTCCGAATACGACAATACTCGTTTCACAGATCAACAAGAAGACTTCTTCAGACCGGAAACCTCCGTGCACCCCGCGAAGCCCTGTACATGTAAGGACGAGGGATGTA